AAAAAACAAGATTATCACACCAGCAGCTATGTGGAAACCAATATTTGACTCTAAAACATGAGAGATGCCGTGTTAGGAGCAGTGAGGTCAGACAAAAGAAATGTTTGACAGATCAGAGGAAGTGATTTTTTTTATTAGCGTAAGCAGAGCATCAGCAAAACATTAGACTGTATAGTGTTGTTTCAATTTAAAGTCATGCTGGTGAAGAAAACAAACATTCAAGCTGTCAACGTTAAAGCATGAGCCAGAAGATTTTAATGTATTACTATTACATAATGCAGATGAACTGCATCAGCTACTTTAATCAAAAAAACAACAGCAAAATTTGAAAGTTTTCCACAACAGCATTCATCAACAAAAGTTCAACATTTTTCATCTTTCTTGTGTTGCGTTGCTGGTCTTCATCTGCACGTCCAGGTGCAAGAGCTCAAAATTTCACATGCTCAACTTAAACAGCTGGATGAGGACAAGAGACTGTCGCCTCATCGCACAAGTTCCAATGGGAATCAGTGGAGAGGAATGGGTAGAAAATATAAACGATGTTTTTTTTTCTGTTTTCTCATAAAAAAAATCAAGTAATGACTTGTTCACCATTTCTCAATCGTAAAGTTAGCACATGTCATTTTTACCCTTCTCCAGTTTTACTAATCTAACCTCACAAAGCAAAAGCCTCTTGAGATGAAACCTGCAGCATCATTTGGCTGCTTGGTCCTGACCGTGTTTGCACAGCAGCTGGCGCTGTAGCAGAACCCCAAGGGAACACAGGGGAAGACGGAGGGAAGGACAAGTGGAAACAAGTGGAGGACAAGTGGAAACGGGGCCGAAGGCTGAAGCATCATCAGATGTGACATGCTTCCAGATTCAAAGGCCTTAACATGCAAAGTGTGAGACATACAGCGTATAGTGAAATAATATGAAAGGCAGATGAAATATTCTGCAGTATCCCTGGATTTAAATGTGGAATACATCATTTCTATGGATTTATGTCAAATCCAATTTTAAAAGTTGTGATGCATCAAATTGTTTCATAAGTCGTTTCAGTTTGTCCTCAGATGGTCATTAAAAACTCCTTGAGACAAAAATGCCCAAACACTCGTCTTTGGGATTCATGATGAGACGCTTTATTTACGGTTCTGATGCAGCTCACAAATCTTTAGGAGTTGGAACAGAGCAAAAATATTTATGATTCACAATTCATGTTGGGCCAAGTACCCAGCAGTCTTTAAATATATAAAAAAAACAACAATAATATAGACAGTGATAAACCTGTACATAACATGCAAGAGTTTCAAATAAAGCTTCAGATCCAGTTTCAACAGCATCTGGCTTACGTCTGAACTAGCTTTATTAATCCACACATCTGAACATGACTCTAACCCAACGCTGCATAGCGTTACATGAGGTCACACACTTCCTTCCTTCCCTGATATCTGATGCTGCTCAGAGAGCAAAGGCAGATAGGAACATTTTAGAAACACTTGGTAGTCAGCCTGGCTATCTGCACTTCCTGTTTGATATGTACAAACAAGATATGCAGATATAAACATATGCTGTTTGCATCTTTTTTTATTATTTTTTTTTTTTTTACTTAAATTGAGTTATGCTAACAGAGACACAAAACTACTGGTGTCATCCCAAAATTATCATATTTTTAAGTTTGACTGCAAGATTTAAAGATTTACATCCCCTGACTGGAAATCAATCAGTTAAAACTAAAAGTGACATCTTATTCCTGTCAGTGATCAGATGCACCGTAGATAAGACTGACCAGTGTGCAGCTTGATGACAACAATCTTTAGAGTTGAGGACATCATGGAAAAAAGAAAGTTAAAGTTAAAGTTAGTTATTCATCATCTGTAAGGTGTTTAAATACCTTCTTACAAATTTGAGCTTCTTGCTTCGGCCATGTTGACTGAGCTGATACAACAGGGGGCCGGGCATTGGAATGTGCTGGTTGTTTGATATGAGGCAACTTCATTCCAGATTCCTCCTGCCACCTGCCAGTGTGCCCATGGGCAAGGCACGTAAGGCCAAGTTGTCAACAAGCCTGCGTATGTGTGTGTGTGTGTGTGTGTGTGTGTGTCCATGGGTGAATGTGGCTGTGGAGTGAAGGGGTTTTGAGTGGTCGTTACAACTGGAAAGGCATCATAAGTTCAGTTCATTTCCATTTATTACTTATGCAGTTTTGGTCATTTCACATTCAGCTTTTCTGGTAACAAAAAAGAGCAGCCAGCCGTCCATTAGTGGGGACATTTTTTTAAATAACATACCATGCTTATTGGGCTAATTGGTAATACGACAAGCTGAGGTTGAAAATGTCTCCATAATCATTTTTGTCTTTCGTTTTAATGGGGCAAATTTCTGTCCTGTGTTTCATGAATAATAATAACGACTAATAAAAGGGAGAGCTGAAAGTATTCACTTACCTTCTGCCTCTTTGTGCTTCTTGCAGCTTATCCAGACTTTGAAGAGGCTGATGAGGCCGTTGTCTGTCGAATTCAAGTCTCCACTAGAGCTGTCAGCCCAAGGTGAGAAAACCACATGCATATTTGGAACCTTACAAATTTACAAACGAAATATACAGATTAGTGCTTAGTAAACTTCATCTTTATAGGATGTGTACACCACAAAAAAAAAAACAAACAAAAAAAACTCATTAATACTAAACTTGAATTGCTGGAGTGCTGTGGACTTCAGTTAGATTCCCTGTTGCAGTGTTTATAGTGAGCATGAATCACTGCCAGTGAGCTACTTAGTGATGAAAGGAGTGCCGTGCTACACTCCTCATGAATCCCTCGTCAGTTATTTTCCTGACAACTATTGATGCCATGCTAATTCTTTAGCTCATAAAACATCATTATCTCAGCTGTGCATGCCGCCGTCTTCCATTGACCCACTCCGCTCTGCTTCCTCTCCTGCTTTTGTCTTTTTCCTCTTCCTACACATTACCTGCACTGCTATGACCAATCGCTTAGCTTTTTCCACTGAAACACAGGAAGCAATAATCAAGAGCTTAAAAAAAAAAAAAAAAAAAATATGTATATATATATATATATATATATATATATATATATATATATATATATATATATATA